AACTCGCGTTCTCCGCGACATGAGATAACGTACAATAGTGATGAGCGTGGGAGCGTGCCGTGTATATCGATCTTTCTCTACCAAATTCTTCCATTCATACACTCCAAATTTCTTGGAGTGAACTTTCACTTCAAAAAAGTGAAAATACAGCCACTTTTGAAAAAGAACGAAAATATTTCACTTCTTGAAAAAGAGTGACAGTTTTCAAGAAGTCAAATATTTTCACTTGGAGTGAAATTTCACTTTAAGAAATTTAGAGTGTTTACGCCAAGTGATATATAGCAGCAGCGTATATTTCGAATCTAAAAAAAAGAATGACAAAGGGGTTCGCCCCTTCTTAACAACGATCACGATTCTAATCTTTTTACGCTTCCTGCTGTATATTTCCCGTTATTCCTCAGCGTCGACAGCAAATGCACACATGCGTACACGTAGACAGTGACATACACACATATATACACTTGATACGCTCTACGTCCTTCCTGTCCTTCACGTTTACCCTTACATGACTAACTGTAACCCCTTCAGTCAAGTTTTTTTTATTTTTATTTATTTTTTCTCGTACACGCACCTCTCGATACAAGCAAGAGTCTTTAATGATATGACGATGACCGTGATATGACATGATACGATATGATATGATATGATAATGAGATGATTAATGTGATCATGATCATGATTTCTTACCATGATTTTTATATTTACTTATTTGTTGCACGTTGTTTGGTGCGTCTCCGTAAGCAGTATGAGGCGCTCGCAGACCCCCTGGTCGTCGACATTTCGAAACAGTGCCCCTCATCCCTTGAAGTAACGAGGAATTAATTTGTGCGAATGTCCCCGTTAGTCCTTTGGTTTAAAAGCGACTCTCAACCCTTTCAAGCCCTTGGCCCAAAAGAGTAAGAATCGATATCTCGCTGTCAATTGTAATCTTTTCATTTTTGTGAAGATAAAGATATTAATTTTATCACATCGACTAGGTTAATTTATTAATTCATTTTTCTCTGTACACGTGTTATAATTTTAATATGGCAAGATCCAGACAGCCACGTATGCCATTATACGATTAAACTTTAACATTTGAAGTATTTCTGTGACACTTGATTTTTTAATAATCGCTAATTAATTGTTTAAAATCGTTGTGATTTTTTTCCGGTTTTATAATAACTCTCGTTTTATTTCTGGACATTAAATGCGCGAGTTCTTAGAGTTTTGTCCTGAAACTCTGAAATATAATAAAGCGCGGATGACAGGATACGAATAAGTGGATAGATAGCTATTCCTTTCAGCTTTTGCGATAGCGGTGGAATAAGAGAAGCGCGAGATCTACGGAAAATAACAAAAAACGAGATATCCACGAAAGCTTCTGTCGCTTCGTCGCGTCTCGAGGGAGCCTCGGGAATTAATTAGCGTGTCTCGCGCGATACATAACGGTCGAGAGAGAGAGAGAGAGAGAGAGAGAGAGAGAGAGAGAGAGAGAGAGAGAGAGAGAGAGAGAGAGAGAGAGAGAGAGAGAGAGACGGCTATTGTGCGTCAAAGAAATAAATAGGGCCGGCTCGGAGAAGGAAACGCCGGCAGGGCTGAGGGTGATGGAAGGGTTCAAAGAGAAAGAGAGGAGCACAAAGGAGCTAGCCGGTGTTGCCCGCGGCGAAACGGAAGAATCGAGCTTTCTGCGTCTTCCGTCCAATCTTCGATGAGAATGGGATCGATCCTCTATTGACTCTATTCGATACGAAAATCCGTTCAAAGATCGGGAAAAGAAACTAAATGGCCGAAAAGTGTATCTCGCACGTAATTCACAGATCACAGTTAAACGCGACGAAGCTATATATTTGTCTTTTGACATAAATAAATTTTAACATTTTTTGTTAACTTCAAAAAAATTCTCGATTTTTTTGTCATACTGTAGTAAAAATATAATTAAAAATCGACGGAAACGCGCGCGTTCTTTAACGTTCGTTTCATTAAACGAAATAAAATCGTCGCAGCGCGAGACGGGGGTTGCTTTTTTATCAGTCACCCTCGTTGCGCCCCGACGATATCCTTTTCGGAGTATCCTCCATGTATGTACATCCTTCCCTGCCCTCC